TAGTATACTTGATGGCCATCTGAATTAAATTCACCCATTCCTGTCCATTTGAGTTCACTGATTCCTAAGATGTCGATATTCATTCTTGTCATCTCTTGTTTGACCATATCCAGCTTGCCTTGATTCATGGATCTTACATTCCAGGTTCCTATGGAGTATAGATCTTTACAGTATCGGACTTTCTTTTCACCACGAGATACATCCACAGCTGAACATCCTTTCGGCTTTGACCCAGTTGCTTCATTCTTTCTGGCGCTACTAGTACTAGCCCTCTGCTCTTCCGCAGTAGCATATTGGACACCTTCTGACCTGAGGGGGTCATCTTCCAGCGTCATATCTTTTTGCCTTTTGGTACTGTCCATGGGGTTTTCATGGCAAAGATACTGGAGTGGGTTGTCATTTCCTTCTCCAGTGGATCATGTTTTGTCAGAGCTCTCTGCTATGACCTGTCCATCTTGGGTGGCCCTGCACAGCATAGCTCATAGCTTCATTGGGCTATGCAAGCCCCTTCACCACGACAAGGCAGTGATTCATGATTATATCATACTAGATACTAAATAAAACAATATAAATTGTAAAATACAAGCAACAAAGTTATAGTCATAAAAAGATAAGAAAACAGTTAATAGAAAAGATGAGAAGGATAATAGTAAAACAGCCCTACTAGGTAGTTCAACAGTGTTATGGGAATTAGTTGTTTAGCAGAGTGATGGCATGGGGGGAAAACTGTAATCTAATCCAACATCAGCAGAGCTGCAAACGAATCGGAGCCATTATTTAAATACTGGGGTTAGAGTCTGAGATGTCTTCCCATAGTGTAGGAGTAAGGAACTGAACTTGCTGTCAAACTTGTTGCAGGCGTGTTTTAATTCTGTACTTTTCAGATGCACAAACATGCATATATATACTACAGTCAGTAACTATCCAACAGTAAAACCTTCAAGGACTCAGTATAGTTACATAAAAACTTGATTGCACCTAGAAGGAGAAATGACTATGTAAAAAATCAGCTATTAAAAAATATAGTAATCTATCTTTCTCTGTGAGTGTATAATTATATTTGTCTTCTGAGGTTTCAGTCCTGGGTCTCTCTTTCCCAACCTAAAATACAGAGGGCACTGTGCCATATTTACATAAGGTCAAGTCTAGTCTGTGGCTTTTTGTTTCCTGTCTTATTAGATTCAGACCCCATAGTAACACTTGAAATATTGTAACTGAGACCATGTCTTTTAGTGAGTTTGTTAACATCATATGTTTAAGAAAATGTATTACGAAAGCAGAAACAAGGGAAGCTTAAAATTTTAAATTGCTTAGACATTATGAGAACAAAAATGTGACCTCTGGCAATAATTTTATGTTTTGAAGATCTAAACTGACTAATTATAAAGCAAGAAAATGGATTCTAGCTATTTTAATTGAATAGCTGGAGTATCTATCCTCTATTCTTTGGATAGTTAATGAGATTCCTGCACGTCCTGTTAACTAAGACACTCTCAGGATTCAGTGTTGTTAGTAGTACTTTTTAATAATCTTTGGATGGTATTTTCACTGAAATTACCAATTCAGTGGTAATTTCAGTGAAATTATTACTGAATTTGCATATGAAGGCTACAGGTAGAATTTTTTGGAAAAAAAGAGACTGGTTCAGTCGTCAAGGAGAGTTTGCAGCATCAGAAGCTTAATTGATGAAAAAGCAGGATATAAATACTACTGTCTGAATAAATGTTATGGCCTCTATGATTTCTTAAGATATGAATGATACAGAGCTGATTGAAGTCAGCTAATAAAGATGGGAAGAAGGAACTCCTAACATAGAAAAGACGTTTATTTGAAATCAGCTATGATCACAAATATATCCTTGACAGTTGAAAACACCACCTTTTATTCTAAGCCTCAATTTACATTGTCACAGGAGAACATCCTAATCTCATAATACCAAAATGAAGTGCCTCATGTTACAAGTTGAATGGGTTGTGTGTGTACCATTTTTATCTTCGTCTGCGTATTTAATAGTGTAACATTCAGAGTTGAACTCAAATTATAGATGAAGATGAAAGAAACAAAAACATTATATCCTTTGAATAAGTTATAAAAGATGTTTGTAAAATTGTTATATATACTTTGTGTAGCTTCCAGTTGGTTCTTTTGCTTAGCTTGTTTTGAGGCACGTGGGAAATATTGCATAACAATCCATTTTCCATTTTGGTTGCATATGCTATATTCATTGTGTTCTTGGAGAGCACATTTCGATAATATAAAAAGGAGTTTTTTAATGTCATCTGTATTTGGTTAAGCTATACTTGGAATGTTAAATGGTTTGGAAAAGAATTTAGAGCTGCTTAATATTATCTATTTAATGGTTCATCGGGTTTGGTTATTCTTAGTTAGGAGTATCTTGGAATAGTAAAAGGGAATTTAGGAATACGGATGCTTCCAATTAATGTATAGCTTACGGCAAAGTTTCTTTTTCAGGAGACATTTCTCCATAAACTTTGGCCAGAATTAATGTAAATATCAAATATTAAGTATATTGGAAATTTTGCAGTGGATGAGGAAATAAATATTTTGATTAATGGAGTTAGATAATCTATAGCTTGAGCCAACTTTTTTGTTGAATGAAATGTGCCATTAACTTTTGAGATAGAAATACTATGGATAGAGTTGTTTAGGATTGGAGTTGTTTATTATAAACATAGTGTCAGTTCAGATTCTCAGGATCTTATGTGAGAGAAAAGAACGATTGCACGAATACCAAAATCTAATGTGAGTTTCCCAGATAATAAGGCCATTGACAAATGTTATTGTTTTGTAGTAAGTGATGTATTCAAATTTCTTCTTGTCTTCCCCCAATAAAATGTTAAGAATTTAGAGAACATCACATAACCAATTTTTAATTATGACAAGATTGCGTTTTTATATAAATCTGGGCATTCCATACAGTTCTCAATTCTATACAGTATTAACAAAACAGTTTACTATGCAAACATTTATAATATGTAACAAAACATTGAACTGAAATACATTGAGACTGAATATTTGGACTCCCAGCCATACTTAGTGACATTAGAGCTAACAGTTGAGAATATCACAGTTCCAAGTCTTCCAAACCTTATCCAACCATACAGTGAACATTGCTACTAGAAATTGATTGTATTGGAATATAAAAACAGATACAGCAGTGGAAGACAAAATCACAAAATTCCACCTTACTTATTTTGACAGTGTCTTGCAGTCAAAATCAAAATGCAGTTAAAAAGGCAGTTTTGCTTGGAATGGTCAGCAGTAAAAGGAAATTGTTCAATCCAGCTTAGTTTTCCTTTAATAGTGCAATAGACAGAACATTGAAACTTAGAAAGTGATTCCTATGAAAAAGGTTACTATATGCAGCCATTTGGGAGTGAGGACTACCTTTAGCCAATCTGTCTGCATTTGCTTTATAAATTTCATTCAGTAAGGCAATCAAATATAATGATTGGAATGCTAGGATTGGATCCAGAAGATACAGTTTCTGATGTTCAATAAAATGATAGCATTTTCTGGATCACCATTACCGAGTCATGTTCTTTCAAACCAGCCTAAAGGATAGTTGTAATTTTTTTCAGAATGCTGCAGGAAAGGCATTCGCACAAGGACAATCCAGTTTCGTCGCCCTCTCCTCTGCATTCTGATCTGGCATTGATGCTGGATAGACACCAGAGATGAGGCTTTTATCTGCTTTGGCTAATTAAAAAATTGCTCCTGTTCTTGAAAGACAGACATTGGTATGTCAGTGACGCATGTGCCGCTTTTCACGAGCTTAGACTACTGCATTGCATTCTCCTTCAGGCAACCCCTAGAAGGAAATTGCAACTGGCCCAGAATGTAGCAACATGAGTTATAAATAATAAGGTCATACTAATTTAATACACATCATTTTAAAGACTAAATAAAGTTCCTTATGAGTATTAAAGTTCAGGTTTTGTAAGTGACACAAAATATGGTTTGTAGTTTTTGCCATGGGAGATTTGCATTAACAGGACCAATCAAGAGGCTTTGCCAGTGGGAAAAATATGATTGGAAACCAGTAGCCTTATTATTTCACAACTGTTTCAGCTTGAACTTGAAATATAATGGAAGAATTTCTGAATTTTCAGAAACACCAGTGCAGATATGCCTAAGAATAATTTATAATGAGTGAGCACGACATAGGAAAGTGAAACAGAAGGTGAAGAAATTGTAGTTTAACTTCAAAGATGACTTATAGATAGTGAAATAGCAAAATATGAACTGTACTTTTAGACTACCTTTTTTTTAAAAAAATGATACTTGGTAAATTTTACTCTCAAAAACACAAATAAGATCAGAAATGTATCAGCATTCAATATTTGAAACTAAATCACTGTTCTCAAAAAAACATAATCTGAGGAGAGAATTAGGAGACATACTCATTAAGATATATTTTGAAGTCGTATTCATTCCATGAATTAATGTCATAATTCATTCATAAAATTATCATGTCATATCTAATACTTCCTACTTGCATGAAAGTGAGCAACTTTCAAGACTAATAGCCTGTCAGACCTGGAAGCCATCTTTTACATTTGTTGGGGGTGTTACTTGGAACCCTGACATAGCCATTTATAGCCACAAATTTGGCCAATTCCCCTTTAAATCTGTTAAAATTAATGGCTGTTATGATATCCGATGAAGGAAACATAACTGTGTGTTGTACAAAGAAAACCTTTTTTATTATTCTTCTTGAATTTATTTTTCTTGAATTTATTTTTTATGTTGAATTTGCACTTTTAGATGGTTTCTTTTTATACTGTCAATCTCTATACTGTCTTATGAATAAAGTTCTGATTTTACAGTTACTGTTGTTCAAAACAACCAAAAGCATTCTAATTTTGCCTCTTTTTTTCAACACATATTCAGAAATAGATATTTTTATTAACTAAATAGAATCTAACTTAAACGTAAGTAGCCGGAATTTTATTATATTTCTTCCTTTTCTTCACTAGTTTTGGATATGGCAAGGCATGTCCCCCTCTATAGAGCTCTTTTGGAACTTCTCCGAGCCATTGCTTCGTGCACATCTATGGTACCATTGTTGCTTCCCTTGACTGGAGAAAATGGAGAAGAGGAAGAAGAACAGTTAGAATCCCAAGCTTCGGTTGGAACTCTGTTAGCTAAAATGAAGACATGTGTGGATACTTACACCAATCGATTGAGGTATTTTTTGAGATTGATTGATTTTGAGAAATAGCATAATATAACTACTCCCCAAACAAATGCAGGGGAACCTCCATTTATTTCTGTGACTTAGAGCAGAAAATGTTTAAATAAGAACAACTTTGGTTTGTTCTTATTTTAAAACAAATTTGGCCCATCAAATTTGATTTTAATGACTCCTGCTACAAACCCCTATTTCCCATTAGAATAGAATCTGGAAAGAATATTGTCACATGTAATAAATCCCAAGCAGTTGAGACTTTTCTCCTTCCAACAATCACTTCTGATTAAAAGTGGGAATCTCTCATAAAAAATGTTTCCAATTTTAAAAGAGCTCTCCATATAGAGCTCTTTTAAAACCAAGAATGCAGTGAAATAGAAGGAAACATTAGGCAAAAATGACAAGAATTTTGGCAGTGTTCCAAAACATGAATTTCCCCTCAATATTTGAGTAATGGTAATTTGTTAGGTATGGAAAACAAAGTTAATGTTATGTACAAAGCAAGATATAATCCATCTTAATATATAGTAATGGGCAGAGAACTATACCTAGTATATTTATTCAATGTTAGCATATGACAAACATACACAAAAAGAGACATCAATAAACAAAACTGAACATTTGAGAAGTTCCCTGCATAACTCTAGGAAATTTCTTTTTGTAATCAACAGATGTTAGAAATATTGGATACATTAAAACAATAATATTTAATAAATTGAGATGACCACACCAAAATTCAGAGTTGACCTGAATTCCAAAACAAGTGAATTGATAGAAGTCAAGACTTTCAAAATTATGGAACCAAATTTAATGTTTTAAATAATAGGACTGCACTTCATAGGGACGATAACCATAACAACTGTCTACACCTTCTTAAGCAAATCCATCTTGCTCTAATCTAAGATCTCATGTCCTGGGATCATACTGAACATTAAGTATTATCTTCATAGTTGGTGCTTCAGTTGTATTACAATATTTATCAAGCCACCCCTAATTTTTAATTTGTTTTAAAGTATAAAGGAATTGGGGGAAAAAGATACCTTAATTATTAAATTTGGGCAAAAAGAATAAGATTTAAATAAACCAAGATTTGTGTTGGTATATTCCTAACCTCTCTTTCTTTCATAATGGAACTCATGCAGATGTAGGATACTTGTGACATCTTGTCATTGTTCTTCAGATATAACTAGGTCGTTAATGAGTCAAACCTTTCCAAAGAGCATCTTAAATAAGTCCATTAGGAACCCCAACATTAAAGGGAAAAAATGAAAAAGTAACTTTAATAAGAGAACTAAAGAAATAAAATAAATCCCCAAAATATACAGTAGAAAAAAAATGAAAAAGTAGTCAGCATCTTTCTCATTGAGAATAGAACATAATACAAGCAGAAAACATTGGAAAATATAATGAAAAATTATTATAACAATAATTTGAGTAGAATATATTAAGACAGAAAAGTTATTGCATTGATTCCACAGAATTTGAAAATAATGATGATAATGGAGAAAAATATTATTGCCAACAGAAGTACAAATAGGTATATAGGCTATCATAGAAAAGCAGCTTGTATTAAGTTTTAGAATGAAAAGCGTGCAAAAATCTGGGTCAAGAAAAAGAATGTCTTTTAAACGTTTAGTAAGAAGAGCAGACAGAATATAATACAAATAAAAGAATACAAATGATAATCAGACAATAAAAATAGAAATTAATAATATTAAAAGGGAACATGTTTGCCTGTCCCATGAATTATAAAATAACTAGAAAAGGGGGCAGACAAAAATACTTCAGAGCAAAAAGAACAAAATAAAATGTTATGTTAAAGCAAGCATTCAGAATAAAGAAAATACAACAAAAATATCCAGAATCCAGACGTTGGATTAAGAAAATCAGATCAAATTATCATTAGTATTTCTCCTGACTCCAGATAATAAAAAAAGCTTTTACCGGAAGAAGGTTTTATGTTGAACAAAAATATTATTTGTTATACTTTAGATGAAAGACAAATTAAAATCTGATAAATAAAAGCTGTAAAAACAAGAAGAAAAGACACAGCCTATTAGCTTTATTAAGAGTTAGATGACAAGTTGAGTTAAACATAAGAAAAATAAATGAAGAAAAGTAGTCAAATTAATCATACACGAGGTACTCAGAATAAATTTAAATGCTGATATTTACACTAATATTCCATGTACATGTTTTGGAATTTAGCTTATTCAGCATACTAATTATTCTAGTTCCTGAAATAGATTTTATACACTTTGTATTTAAAGAATTTAAAGAAGCTTTTATTTATCAGTGTTGTCTTGATAGAAAAAAAAAAAGGAAAGAAAATTTGGATAGAGTAAAAAGGAAAGAAAATTTGTATATATACATGTGTGTATACACACACACCCGCCTACACAAAACCTTCATTTGTTGGGGCTATACAAAGTTTTAGAAAGAGCTGCTTTGCAAAACTTTTAGCACCTATACTTGAAGTTTTTTAACAACTTTGTTCTTTAGATACTTAAATTACTGCTTTGAAATCTGTTCCCAGTTGTCTCAGTGTGTACATAGGTAGACAAACTATTTTGTTTCATTAGCAGTTCTAGCAGAAGTGTGCAATGCATGCACATATGGAAAACTAGGGACAATTTTCACGCAGTCTCATAAGCCTTGCAAAAGATGTAGCTTTATTGCTTCAATGTTAGAGATATCCTGTTTATCAGTTTCAAGAAGAATGTGGTTCAAATTCTACATATTAAATTTTATTTTTATTATATGGTTTCCTCATTTTAAAGGCATACACCTGGTTAATCTTTCAAGACATTATATTTAACGCATGTTTTGTAAATATTTTCACTTCTATCAAAGTTTTTCTTTTTTAAATCTTGTCCAATTTTGACCTATTCTGTAGATCAAAAAAAGACAAGTCAAAACCTGGAGTAAAGTCAGAGACTTCAGATCAAGAACCAGAGGGGCTGACTCTTTTGGTGCCAGATATCCAAAGGACTGCTGAAATTGTTTACGCTGCAACAACAAGTTTGCGTCAAGCTAATCAAGGTAAATGATCTTGAATTTTTGCATTCTATCTTTTAGCAATATACAAATTCTCAACAAGACTGAGGTAACAATGAGTTCAGAAATAGAAAACCTTAAAAAAACTATGGACAAGTAGATAAAAAATAACATGCAATCTTTTTAAAACGTTAAAAAAATGATCAAATGTTAACTAATAATATACCTGGGCAAGAACTTTTTCATTCTTCCTGAGACATAGAAAAATGAAACATTATCCCAAGTTCTTTTGCATACATGTCTCAGGTGCGGAAGATCAAGGCCACACATGAAGTTCCAGTTAAACTGATTTATTGCCTGTGCACAGGATTTTTAGTCAACTAACCATTAGCATTATTTTGGTGCTAGATGAGGGTTAAGGGAATTCAAGAAAGGTTGGAATTAAGAAAGGTCTGTTTGGTGTCCATTTGTGGCAATGTAGAGACTCCAGGCAAGGGGTGTCAAACTGGCAGCCCATGGGCTGGATGTGTCACACGCAGGCCATGCCCACCCCACCTCCACCAAGGGAAAAACGTCATGATACGTCACATGACGGCAACATAACGCCACAAGTTTGACACCCGAGCTCTAGGTTGATCTCTTTGACTCTGCCCACAGGCTGTGCCACTCACTTTACACACATACTTCTTCCTTCCATCTGGACTACTTTGCTAGAGTCTAGAATATCCATCAAAGAAGACTATGCTATTAATACAAAACTACTGAAGCTTTTATTCATTGTGCTTCTCTTTAGAAATTCCTGTGACACAGATAGAATAGGACCAAGCACAAAGTTGGATCCAAAAAAATGCCATTATGTTTGACTTTAGGGCCATCAGCGTAGTGTCTCCACAATTAGGATGAGCCTGTTTTTTGATGATGCAAAATGGTACTTCTGAATTTTGCAGTAAAGAAATACTATAGATAAATTTAACAGTACTTTATTAAATGTTATATGTTTTGTTGTAACCATTGCAACAGAGAGAAAATTGGCTGAATCCTCTAAAAAAGCTGCAATGAAACCCAAGCCATTGTCAGTTTTAAGATCTCTTGAAGAGAAATATGTAGCTGTAATGAAAAAACTCCAGTTTGGTAAGTAAATAATCTATATTATAGCATTAAAAAAATCCCAAAGGCATTTTTGTGGCTTTTGTTGCTTTGAGATTTAATTTCAAAAACATTTTTAATGGAATATCTATATAAACACTGACAAAGGTGATATTTTTATTACTCCTTTGTAGTCCTTTCAGAATGTGTTTAATGATTTAGACAATACGAGAAGATGCAATTATCCCCAAAAGTATAAGTTAAAATTTGCCCAAAAATATTTGCCAAAATTTTAGATATAATTACCTGAAGTTTAGTACAAATTTAGTACTTGTAATGGAGTAAGAGAAAACCAGGAGCACTAGCAAAACTTTCAAGGGAAATGCAACTTTGACAAATAAATTTGAAATAAGCAAGAAAAGTAATTATGCAGATATGAGGCATTTCCAAGAATAAATGTTAGTGAGGCAGAAACAGTATCATAGTTTGAGGGAAACTATTGCTATTCTATGCTTTTTGCATTATTTATGTTTTTGATCACTGGTTTTGTTTTACTTTGTTTCTATTTTTTTAAATTATTAGCTGCCCAGAGTCATGTATATAGGATAGGCAGCCATATAAACCATGTATTTGTGAGACAACACACACAACACACACACACACACACACACACACACACACACACACAGAGGGGAGGGGAATGAACTGATGGCAAATAGTAGTGTTGGACACTTGTTTCATTCTACTTTGGAGGGAAAAGGGAAAATATGTTGAGGAAAAACTAGCACAGTTAACACTTAAAAGAGAGGAGTATGTCTTTATTTCTTGCTTGTAAGCACCAATAGGCATCAGATTGGCCACTGTGAGAAAAGTGCTGGACTAAGGTATCCTAAACCAGGGGAGCTATCCTTGTTCTTAAACTTAACATGATAATTTACTCACTTTCTCCTATAGTTATCGTATCATTACTGTTGTGTTCTGGAAGAATACATAGGTAGAATAACTTCACAGTTTTAAATTACACAATAAGCAGAGGTAGTGTAGATATAAACTCAGGGAATTTGGACTGACATTTTAATCTTTTAAAACTGTGAAAATATTTTTATTTACTGATTTGTTTTTATTAAATTTGATTATTTTATCCAGTTAAAATGCAGTTTTGCTCTCCTAAGTAAGAATGTAATGCTTTTTATTTTTAGATACTTTTGAGATGGTTTCTGAAGATGATGATGGGAAACTTGTGTTTAAAGTAAATTACCACTACATGTCTCAGGTGAAAAATGCCACTGATGCAAACAGTGCTGCTAGAGCCCGACGTCTTGCTCAAGAAGCTGTAACGCTTTCTACATCACTGCCACTTTCTTCATCATCCAGTGTTTTTGTTCGCTGTGATGAGGAGAGACTAGATATCATGAAGGTAAAGCCAGACTTATATCCATTATGCTAGTTAAGTAATATTGATACTTATTTTGTGGAATTCATTGGACCCTGGAAGTGGCAAGGGGCAATTTAGGCCACTACTTCTATACATCTCTTTCCCACCTGATAGAATTTGATAGTTCAGTTAGTTCACTTTTCAGGTCTAGTTTTTAAGTTCTTATGGAAACAGGTTTGCCAGAAGATGTCTCCTAAATTTGTTTTAGTTTTATGAATGGAAAGATGACAGAAGAGCAAAAAGGAAATAGGAGAGACAAGTCATTGAAATAAAAAAACAGAGAGAAGTGAAAACTCTAGGGAATATCATTAGCTGTAGATAAAAGAGGCTGTGCCCATCTATTTGGGAGAAAGAAGCCAAACAGCCATTCAGAAGTTAGGATAAAGGTAAATTTAGCCAAAGACTATTGCTTTAAAAAATAAATTAGCTAATTAACCAGTTGTAATTTCTGTGGCAAATTGTATTGCGATCTGGTTTCCTTTGATTCTTAAGTATAACCGAATTTAACTTTTTCAAAAGGTTTTGATAACTGGCCCAGCAGACACACCTTATGCAAATGGCTGTTTTGAATTTGATGTGTATTTTCCACAAGACTATCCTAACTCACCTCCACTTGTCAACCTGGAAACAACTGGAGGACACAGCGTGAGATTCAATCCAAACCTATACAATGATGGCAAGGTAAATGGTTTGTTAAACTCATTGGAGACCAGTGTGATTGAAGCAAATCTTCTGGTCATCCTTGGTGAAGTTGGCATCTACAGTTTTAATTTAGTAGGATGAAAAATATACTAAGATCACAATTTGCTTTGTGTAAAATAAAATACCATTGCCTGGTGGGGATCCCATAAAATATTATTAGGGTTTTATGTATATTTACATATTCCGATCCACCAATAAGTAGAAACCAGTCTCTCTATATTGACTGTATTTCTGAATTCAGTGTATAACATCAGAGTTTATTTTCAGTAGAAGACTATGATAGTGGGTTTTCAATATATACCAGTCACCCCTTGACGACAGAGGAAGACACTTTACCGTTTCTTAAATTACACAGCACTCATCAGCTTTGGAGAGGAGAGAAGGTTGTGATAGCATTTATGAAGCCTATCGGATTGGAGTCCTAAATGGTTCAAAATCTTTTATTTTCAGGTTTGTTTAAGTATACTCAATACCTGGCACGGAAGACCAGAAGAGAAGTGGAATCCCCAGACATCAAGCTTTTTACAAGTATGTAACTTTTTCTTCATTAGTGCTTCATGATGCACTTTCTTCATGATGTTGCAATACAAACCATACAACATTTGCACCTAATGTCAGAAAGCAAGTACATCGCTGCATGAATATTTTCATTTTTCCATCATTGTGTCTAGCCCCAGATGCCTTGAAATCAAGCTGGTAAGCAGAGTGTTTACATTAAGATGGTTAAATCTTAGTGTTCTATTACAAAATGCATGTTACTCGGGTCCACCATAAACATATTTAGCCATGGTTTGCAGTAGGTTATCAAACAGCATATGGAAGAGCCTGTGGATGAACAAGAAAACATTTACTGAAAAATATTTAATCATTTAATTGTTTTATGTTAAGAAACAAAACGGAAATGGATCTATATTGACAAGAAAAAAGTGGCAAAAACACAAGCAAAGTGCTCCTCCCATGAACAGAACCAACTGTTTTGTGAGCCTTTTAAAAACATTTTAAAGGCACACTATGACTTTTTAACCTGTTATGATAGCATATAAGCACTTAAACTGAACAGAGTATCATTTTGTTAACATGAATCGATTCTGCAATCCTGCAAAGGGGCAAAGTTTTTTTTGTTTTTGTTTTTTTAATTTTGATTTATATGCCGTCCTTCTCCGGAGACTCAGGGCGGCTTACAATGTGTTAAGCAATAGCCTTCATACTTTTGTATATTTATACAAAGTCAGCTTATTGCCCCCACAAACTGGGTCCTCAATTTACCTACCTTAGAAAGGATGGAAGGCTGAGTCAACCTTGAGCCTGGTGAGATTCAAACTTACAGTAATTGCAGACAGCTGGTGTTAATCACAGTGCTATCAGTCTGCTGAGCCATCAGACCCTTGACCTGATTAATGTTATTGGAAAGTTTCAGTTATTTTTATGTTTTCATTAATTCTAATGTTGGCCTACATAAAAACTTTTCTTTCTATAGGTACTGGTCTCTGTGCAATCGCTCATTTTAGTTGCAGAGCCCTATTTCAATGAACCAGGCTACGAAAGATCTAGAGGGACTCCAAGTGGCACACAGAGTTCCAGAGAATATGATGGAAATATACGGCAAGCAACAGTTAAATGGGCAATGCTTGAACAAATCAGAAATCCTTCCCCATGTTTTAAAGAGGTTTGTGTTTGTGGTTTTCTAGACGATCTAACTGTTGTAAATCACCATAATGTAAGCTAGCTAAGGATATGACCTAAAATACATGTTTATCATGGAGGTAAGGCATATAGATTAAGAAGCCATCATTCCATTTCTCACGCACTGCTCAACTAGATGCCTTTTGCTAAGCCTACCAGTCATACTTTTCCTGTTGCTCCTCAAGGAGTAGTATTCATTCACTCAGCAGGGTGGGGAATAGACCAGAGGTGGGTTTCAGCAGGTTCTGACTGTTTACTTATATGTATTATGTATTTTTATTTTTTATATTGTTGCTTGTTTTTATATTGTGAGCTAGCCAGAGTCATTTTGCAGTCAGGCAACATCTAAATCTAAATAAATAAATTATATCATTGCCACCAATTTATATCATTTCTGCAATGACTTTATTTGTACAATTGAAAAACATGTACATTTGAAAAATAGAATCAAAGACGTAATATTTTTAAAAAACAACCATCTTATGGAAAAACATTTTAAATTAAGAACACTATTTTTTTTTCCCATTTTATTTGATTGCTCAGTGTTCCGCATCAAATTATGCATATGAGTTTAGAGGACATCCTAAAGAAAGAATGCATTCAAAGAAAGCAATAGGAATATCTTGTTTTTTGAGATTAGGTGGCCAATTATGTTTTTGCTAAACAATGTAAGAATTAAATCCTAAACAAAGTAAGAATTAAATCCTTCGCTTCCTTGAATTTTCCTCTGCACTATACTTGCTTTGTTGGGAGTAGCATTCCTAAAGCATTTGCAATTGTAGAAGTTGGCAGTAGAAACTGAATTACTGATTTATAATTAAAACAATGGTGAGCTGAACATGACACAGAAAAGGGCTTTGATACTTAAAATACAATGAAAACAAGCCAGACCACTAGCTTCCACTTTTTAAGGCCATGAAATGTTTAAGACAATTCTAATGAAATACATAGTTGGCTCCTGTTCTCCTCTTATTATCTGTACATTTCTTTACTTACTGCTAAACTTGGAAGTGACCTTGCAAGCTTCCATTTGGAGCCAAAATAAATCATGCATAGCCCTGGCCTTGTTTAAAATTATATATGTGTCTATCTCTCATCGTCCATCAGTCATATTACCCCCATTATTGTAATACATTAGTGCTTAGTTAACGACTTGTGATTTTTGGTAGTATATACAGTAGACACTATTGCCAAGTATTTTTTGCAAAATTTTCTAAAGTATTGCATGCAGTTAATAGATGTATCTATTGGCATATTTTACTGCAAAATCCTAATGGTTTTTGGTCCCTTGGAATGAAATTTGTCCAATAGTAGCATTAAATTAACCTAACAGAAAAATAAATAGATCAGTGCATAGAGTGCCCACATTCCTTCAATTGTATTTAAGGCTTGAGAATTGTACCACAAAACTACATGTTCCTAAACCTTCCCATTTTCTTAACAAATTTTCTTATATTTTTTGTAATCTTAATCAATCATAAATAATATTCAGAGAGGTTGTTTTTAAACCATGAATGACTTCAACTGTACTTAAAGCCAGTAGGAGTTATATTTGGGTTTCTTTATTTACTTATTTATTTAATTATTACATATGACCATCCAACTATCAGATTGGGTGAATAATACAGAATTAAAACCAAATACAAACACTAACAAAAATAAAAACAATAGAAAGATAATTTCATATCAATCATTGCATTTCTATCTTAATTCTGAGGCACCAGGAGCTATCATGATAAATCAGAATAGAAGCATCTCTCTTTTACATAAGATATGGTTTATAAATACAAGTTTTTTTCATGTAATTGATTATCAAGACTTTATATTTTAAATGTAGAACAAGTGTCTAAGGCTACTTCACGCTCCTAGTTAAATGTGATTTTAATTATTTTTTTTTAATTGATAAGCACTAAAACTGCATGAAATTCAATAAAGAACTCCCTTCCTTTCAGTTCTTTAAAATCCTCTCAATTGAATGGCTGGTAAATTGGAAAAAAAATAGGAGAAGTAACTCACAATTCAACATATTAAAATCCATTTAACAATTCTTTAATCTGTAATAAAACTTTAACATCAGATTAAAATACAGTAAAGAAAATTTAACTAAGAATGTGAACTTGAGCACAAGTAAGTCTACTCAACATGGAGGTTTTTATTATTTATTTATATCCCATCTTTATTATTTTTACAAGTAACTCAAGGCGATAACCATATGTAACACACCTTCCTCCTCTTATTTTCCCTACTGCAAGAACCCTGTGAAGTGAGTCAGGTTAAGAAAGAATGACCAGCCCAAGATCACCCATGTGGCTTTCATGACTAAGGCAGGACTTGAAGTTACTATCTCTTGCTTTCTAATCCGGTACCTTAACCTCTAGACCAAACTGGTTTTTGTTGACCCTAAAAAGTAAAAGATCAAGCCACATGGTTGCTCTCCCTCCACCACTTGTGAGAGTAAATTTGCACCAGTATCCATTAATCTCACAGATACTCAGATATTGAAGGTCATATGAGGCCAATTGGTAAATAGAAAATATTCTGAGATACTCAGGTTCATGTATGGTAAACTCACACCTTTTGAAGATTGCTAAACAAAACAAATTTAAATGTAAATAGTGTACAGAATTATATTTTCGTAACTGAAAACAGTTGTATTCTTATCTTATAAGTTTATGTGAGAATTTTTTTGAATAATGACATTATTCAATCCAATTAGTTAAACCAATGTAATTATTTAATTCCATTCTCAAGATTGTTAAAGAGCTCTTAACTAATTTCCTATTTAGATAGTTGTTTATATCAAAAAACATATCTCATCACAAACATCAGCAGTCTATCAGCAGTGCTTTAAAGCAGCCATATCTTTTCCCATTGCATTTGCCTGATGAACTTAGGAAATGAAGCAGTTCCTTCCATGTTCATGAACATCAGAAGCATTGTGAAGTTGTAATTGCTCTTAATGCATAGGATGGACACTTAGATATATTAGATCTGTATATATTAAACACTTTGATAATTCAAAACTATACATTAATAGCTAACTATTATTTCTGCTCCTATTCTTTTTTTTTATAGGTTATACATAAACACTTCTACTTGAAGAGGATAGAGATAATGGCTCAGTGTGAGGAGTGGATAGCAGATATACAGCAGTACAGCAGCGATAAACGGGTAGGCAGAACTATGTCTCATCACGCTGCAGCTCTAAAGGTAAGAAGCTAAAATCATATGCATTCGTGGCTATTTTCACCGTGAGTGAGTGAGTGAATGAATGAATGAATGAATATATTAAAGTAGGAAGTTCCTTAAAAATTAGACCTTATGCATTCTAAAACTATTGTGAGATTGAATTGTTTTTTTTAATAATATTTTTTTATTTTTTCAAACATAAACATATATCTTTCAAGAACGAAGTCTCAATCCGGTCATAGATAGGTACAATCGCTTACATTTCTTTAACCAGCTCCATTAACAATTTCCCATTACATTTTTTAAAATTAAAAATCAAACAAATTTTTTTTTAACATGAATTCTAGCATCTTAAATCTAAACCATTCTATTATATCATCACGAATTTAATTTCCAAATGAACTTAACTCATTTTTCTTTTAACCTCAATATCAAAACATTAATCTTAAAAAAATATTCTAACCTCTTAAATCTAATTATTTACAATTTTATCACCACAATTCTTATTTTCAAATTAAATACAACTCTATTTTTATTTCAATTTATAGAACAAAATTCTATCCATATTTCTTAATCTCTAGGCACATTCCATCAAATCTTTAAATCTTAGACTTTATCACTTTAACTTTAATTTTCTCACACTTATCATCTATTACACATTTCATTTTACACACATTTATCCCAAAATCCATATCCTCCTCCATATCTCCTACTATTATTTTACTGATTTCCAGCTTATTTTATTTTAGCTGATTTTCAGCATATTCTCCTCCATACTTCCAACTATTGTTTGGCTGATTTCCAGCATATTATTATTTTGGCTGATTTCCAGCATAATCTCCTCCATACCTCCAACTATTGTTTGGCTGATTTCCAGCATATTTTATTTTGGCTGATTTCCAGCATATTCTCCTCCGTACCTCCAACTATTATTTGGCTGATTTCCAGCATCTTTTATTTTGGCTGATTTCCAGTATATTTTATTTTGGCTGATTTCCAGCAAAATCTCCTCCAAGCCTCCAACTATTGTTTGGCTGATTTCCAGCATCTTCTCCTCCAGAACACCAACTCTTATTTCGCTGGTATCCAGCATCTCTTATTTTAACTTTTTCCTTGCAGTATATTTGTCTATTATTTAGCTATTTCCCAGTATACTCTTCTGGATTAATTCTCAACACATTTCATAATATTAATCATTTCCAGCATATATTGAATTCAGTCACAATTCGTTACTTAAGTCTGTGTATCTTATATTTTCATCCAATAATACATTAATCAGTTATATTTACTTCTCAAATTTGTTTACAAATTTAGAATTAAAACATGTTACATCAAACAATAAATTTTCTTACGTTTATCTCATATTGGCATATACTCTTATGTTTTTGCAAAAATATCATTTTTAACCACCTATACATCAATCCTCTATTTTAAATACCTTCTTTTATTTCCCATCTTTGTTACTTCAGGAACCCTCCTGTTTTTATCTAAAAATCATTTGTACATTTAGCTTTTAAACATTACACTTTAATTTTATCTGCTTTATTTCTTCATTTCCCTATCTGTCCATAAATGTTCCACTTCAAGATTCATATTTCCATATTAAAAACTCCATATATCACTTTAATTCTTTTGTAACATCAGCTACATGTAAAATCCATCAACTTCCTTTCTTTTAATCCTGCACCACTCCTTGTTGCTAAGCCAGTTAGTTTCGATTTTAATAAATCGAATGTATTTCTTCTTTCTTTGTAAAATCACCCAAAGACAGAATAGGAATCTTCAAAATCCAAAAGTCTATAGTTGATTTCAAAGTAACCCAAAGTAGGTAACAATTCAGAATGTTTCTTTTCCAAACAGAAGGAGGATCTCTGCAATCCACATTCTGCTTAGTCACAGCAATCCCCATTTTATAGCTATTATGTAACCCTACGTTTGTCTCTCTTCTTTAACTTCCCAAAGATGTTAAATCCCGAAATAATGCTTCTCATCCCCAAAGTCAAAAACCTTTGGTTATTTTCAAAGTAATCCAATTTAAGTAACAAAACACATTGTTTCTCTTTCAAGCCAAAAGCAATCTACAATTCACACTTTCACTTAGTCACGGCAATTCTCCATTTTATCAATTATGTGATCATCCATTTGTCTCTGTTCCTTTAGCTTTTAGCTTTTAAAGTTATCAGGTTTCTATTTGTCGCTTTTTTCTTTTTCTTTCTCCAAGAGTAATCCTTTCCAATTTTAAAAAAAGTTCCTCAATTTTCTAATTTGTTTCAATAAGCAGATTATTCCAAATCGGTCCGTGATACATTGAACTCCTTAATGGGTCTTTTCCTCCTGCACATTAATTTTACTAAATCTTCTTACCCCACAGATCTATAGCCACTGTTTAAGGCTAGGGGGTTCCTTGTAAAAATCCATATTGTACCGTTGTTCCTGCCTGCGTTGGTGTCACTCACCCGGCTTCCGAACACTTCGCTCTTTTCTTCTTTCTTCCTCCTGCACAGTGCTTCTCCGGTTTGCCCCGGCTTCGAGGCAGCCGCCATGGCTGCCGCACCCCTGCCGCCGGCTCAGAGGGTTTCTTCCGGCCTCCAAGGAACTTGCCTGTTCCTCTCGGCCATCCAAGGTGTCCCTCTCTTTCCCCTGTCCCTACAGGACAGATTTGGTCCGCAGACCTGTTGACGGCGGTTTGACAGTCGGGGTTTCCCCGACTGAGTCACCGCAGAACCAAACCGGAAGCGAGATTGAATTGTTTTTATTGTCTTTTTTCTTCTTCCTTTTGGTTTGGAAAACATTGTAAAATATCAGTTAAATTGCACAACCCTTCTCTAAACCAGACCTTTCTCTATTCAAGATGTTCCTGTCATTTATCTTTATGAGTGGAATTGGCTACTATAGTCTTAAAGCAGCTCCATGTTTCCTTTTCCTCTCTCCCAATAGTGATTAATAATGCTGAAGATCAATAGAATATGTTTTTCCACCCATGCTAAGGGGCCATGAAAACCTGTAGTGTTTTGGTGTCTCACATATCCCTGACTAAATATTATGGAGAAATAGGAAGGAAAATTGAGTTCTATTGCTTTTAGCATAATCACATTTTGGGCATAGTATGTAAGTTTTAATAAACACTTTCTTAACATTTATATTTTGAAATAAGTGTTACATCTTCTACAATATTCCCCATTAGATTGCCACACCAAAGTCAGGTGAAACAAAATATCTTAATTCTTTCAATTCCTTTCTTTATGCATTCTGAACATGTGGATGAAGTTATCTTAAAGACATGACCCTTTTATGATTCATACATGCAGATTTCTTGCTTTGACTCTTTTAAACCAAGTAATAATTTGAAATTGAATGTCACTTAAAACCCAATTATTTTCAATGTCATTTCACATATTTAGCTGGAGGTAGCAAAAATCAAGTGAAATGCCTGCATTCCTGAATCATCCTACAGTTCAAGATGTAATTGTTAGGGTTAATGAATCCAATTTTGCTTACTTGTACCCAAAAGCTATAGGGCATTTGCAGATGTATAATATTCTGCAAGCTGTCTAAAATATAAACTTTAATTCTAAACTGCACAATTCTTTTATTCATCACAACTGCTGAAATATAACACATGAAATAAACTAAAAATGTATTTATCAGTTTAATAAAATTCTTCTTCATGATTGTTGTGATTCACAGACATGGGTAATGTCTGCCTGGAGTTCATTCAGAATCTGCTGGAGCTAACATAATTTCTTGGGGGAGGGAGAGATGCGTAGGCACAGTTGTCACTGAATTCCTTCAATATGTGTTTGCCCAACAGTGATTTTATATTAATTCTTGGACCTTGTTGGTTCTTTTAAATTCTTCATTCTTTCCATCTTGTTCTATTTTATTTAGTGTGAATATATTTTAATTTATTTACTGTCCATTCTGCTCATAAACGGTTTTAAAATGCAATCTGTTCCTCCTTGTTCAGTTACCTTCCTGGATTTAGCCTTCATTCTTCAAGGATTAGTGAAACTACAGAAAATTGGACAAAATCTTTGAAGCTTCACTTTTTCCTCCACAAAGACCAACCTTGTATCCATTTCTTCCTTTACTTTCCTGCCTTCCTCCTATTGCAAAACATAAAGGATTTCATTTGATTTGCCCACTTCTACTCCAGCCCCCATTTGGAATTTTCCTGGTTCTCCCCACACTAATGTTGAAGCATTTTAAAATAACAATCACTTCCTTTTATGGAAAACGGTATTTTTAGTAGGAATAATTTTGGCTTGCTGGACAAGAGGGCCTGCCTTCACTTTTCAAGAACGAAGTAATTCTTCACCCAAATATCCCTTTGTTCTTGAACTTTTGTTTCTGTTCCCATAACAAGTCATTACTTTTTTTTTTATTCCTGCTTTCTACTTTCATTCCAGTGCCACACACACATTTCCAATTTTTTAAGGCCCATCCTGGAGTTAGATCTTTTTTTTTCAGTGTTTTCCAAGTAGATAGTTGCAGTAGCCCACTAGTTATGCATTAGCTGAGCAGCACTGCCCTCTTCAGAACCATGATCACCTTATAAAAATTAATCCATATGTTTGGCCTTTCTGTGTAGAATTTATTTTCTGACATATGTAGGGCAGCTACTTCTCCCCAGATTTTTTTTGTTTTATCAAACAGTATAAACTTGTCTGCACCTCTGCTCCACAGACATGAGTCTTTAGAAATGTAGTCCTTTTTTTTCAGTTATGCGAAGTAGATCCCCTTCCAAGTAATAACTTACCAAAAGTATGATGGAGAAGAATGGTTACTTAAGTACAGCTGTAATTCTTCTCAGAAGCCACCATTTTGAGTCTCAGGAACTGAAGGCACTTCTTGAAAGCTGTGCCTAGTCATGTGTACAGTGCATGGGATGGTGTTTCCCATAAATTCTAGAAAATTCCACTTGGTTTTGCATAAGCATATAACCCATGAATATGAATTCACTCATAAATGCTTGAATAATTTCAGTTACAGGTACAGTAAGTTAATCAATTTTTCTCTTGATTCTGCACTTACATCTGTTTGAATGTACAATGTTCCATTCCTAGGAATGCTAAAAGTTAAGAAAATTAGAAAGATCTTATAAAAGATGGCGTATCTATATCCAAGCAATCTTTAAAGTACGGTATCAAATGACGTCAATAAATAGCATTAGAATGTACAATTTGTTTGTTTATTTATTAAATTTACACGCTGCCTATCTCACTATCCAAAGCAACTCCGGGCAGCTTAAAATACAATACAATTGTAAATATAAAAAATATTTTAAAATTAACAAGAATTAGATCAAGACTGAAAACCAAGAGCACAAACAGTATGGTGGTATGATTATTCCACCAACCACCTCCATCATGGAGCGTGCCTCCCTTCGGGACTCCAAGCCAACCAGAAGAGCCAGTTTTGAGGCCCTTCTGGAAGGCCAGGAGGGTGGGGGTGGATTTTACCACTGATGGTAAGATTCCAAAGGGCGGGAGTAAAAAGCTTTTCTCCTAGACCCCACCAGCTGAAGGTGGGTACAGTAAATTTCTTTAAACTCTGCCTCTTGGTTTGTGAGATAAATCACTCTAGGTATTATTCTCTTTTAATACAATTCTGAGAAATAAATCCCACCCAGTTCAATGGGACTGGTTTCTATTCATTTCTGTACAACTTTTGCTAGTCCGTAATTTTAGCAGGCAAATAACAAACCAGTCGGCTATTATCACTATATGAAATGTATAATGGTTTTACTGTAATGGGGTCTCAGACTCAAACTTCTGTGAAAGGGAATCTTTCTTATCTATGTTTCTTTGCACAGCGTCACACAGCTCAGCTGCGGGAAGAGCTTCAGAAACTCCCCTGCCCTGAAGGCTTGGATCCAGATGTGGATGATCCTGACGAGAGGTGCAGTGCCATGACTAGTATTGAGGACACTCTCTTGCACGAGCAAGTCAAACCAAGCAGCAGTAAAGACCTCCCAAGTGACTTCAAATTATGAGCTATGTTGACATGGACTTGATAGACACACAAGGCTTTGAAGCACAAGCCAAATATGTCAATATTTGTATCTAAGAAGCTAATTATGTAATAGGTAAAGAAATTGAAACTCTAATATGCCCTTCAGGATATACAGTTTAATTCAAGATGATCTTTTATTTACCTGTACAAGAGTGTAAACTTTTTTGTGCTTTTATTTTCCAATTGTGAGAACCACTGATTGGTATGTTTAAAAGTTATGTATACAAGAATGGATAAATCACTGTTATATAAGGGAAGCTACCTTAGGAAAGAATGTTTACTGAATGTTTATTATTTTTTTTTTACTTGTAGAGTGAGGGCAGTTGTAACAGAATATATATTGGTCATTCTTACAGCTACTATTTAAAGTCAGACAGTTTTCACTGAATTTGATAGATTTTACGTTTGGCCATATCTCCATTCTCATATTTGATTTCTAAAGAGAACCTTCTGTATACTTCAATAAAGATCAAATGGACATGCTCCGTCTTATGATTTACTGGTACCTTTTTTAATAATCTTGCCATGAATACATTATAGTTGGAGACTTGCACTTGTATGACTGAATTTATTACAGTCAACATATTTAATTTTATGCTTAACTAATTCTAAAATGCAGTTGAAATAAATGCACATGGTTTTACCTCAGCCAAAATGTGGACTACTGAATTAATCTTTTTAAAATTTTTATTAATAACTCAGTGATTTTTACTCAAGCAGACAAAACATTTTGCACAATAGAACAGAAGAATTTTGAAGATTTCTTGCCCATTATTAAAAGGTATTTTAAAAAATGGGGTTATGAGTTAAAATAAGCAAAAAATACTAGTTGAATATTTAGAAATATTATCTCAAATATTTCATTTGAGAGGTTTATAAATTGCCCTGAGTCAGATGATTGAGCTGTCCTGTCATCTATTTTCCAAATATTAATTTGGATATGATGATTTTTTTTGTAATCAGATGGTTCAAAGCTAATGGATAACTAGATTCAATATGTGTAACATTTGGAAACACAGAAGGAGAGTTATATTTGGAAGGTGAAACAGATTTACAAATACTTGTTGGCAATATTTTATTTAATATTTAATACTATCCCCCATCATCTTTCCAAAATAAGATGTATTTCAGATTAAGCACCTCTTCTTGATGTGTCCTATGGCAGGGATGGAATCGTCTTTCAAAGCTTTAAAGCTAAGCTGTGATTGCAACAAAGAGATTGCTATTATTACAGCAACAAACTTGGTTTCACACCATTATAAATGCAGTCACATGGTACAATTAAAAGCTTTTCTACAATATATTCATTCCTAGTGTTGGGTGCTAACTTCTTCCTTTCATTTGTAGAAAGAGAGAGCTATAAATGAATAGTGAAACTTTTTATATTGCCTGAATAGTAAATTCTTCAACAAAACTTTGCTGTTTGCCCTTACGCAGAATGAATTTTGTCCTAATGTCATGTTAGCCACATAACATTATTTGATCACAGGTCAACATTTCCTGCCTTTACTCTGGTAACATGATTGTAACATGTCTCATATTCAAAATGTCACCAACTGGAAAAGAAGAAAAAAAATGGGTTGAAAAGTATATAGAAGAAATAGCCATAAATGTTTTTAAACAAGTTCCATGAGGGAAGGTGAATTTATTCAATGCATGATTTAGCTTTTAGACCACTGATGCAATTGTACTGGATCTTCTCTTGACTCAACCAGCATTTAATACAGTGGAAAAACTTACACAAATTTTTCCTTTTGACCATAAAGTTATATAAATATGTCTGTCCTGTGGAAAAGGCATTTCATTATTAGCACTGATTGTCCTTGTGTCTGTGGCTCTTGACACAAAAGAACAAATTATGGCATAATCCAGAATATGCAACTTTTTTATCCTCTCCTAAATAAAGCCCACTGAAGAGCCGTAACATTGCTAGTATGGCTTTATAAATAGACAACACAATATACCATAAAAAGACCAAACTTCAGAATTAGTTTCACTCTAAAGCAGCCTCCCCAAGCCATATGTATGAAGGAGACTTTGTGCATCTCAGAAACAAGAATCAGAGTAGAGTAATAGATGGATTGTTTGATGTATGAAATGGAATCTTCCAAGGACTTGTTAGAGTTGGTATGCTTCAATTTATTGATAATAGTTCTGAAATCCAAGGTGGCCAAGTTTGTATCATTACAAAATGATTCAAAGTGGAAATTTTTTAAAAATTATGAAAGGCTCCCAGAATATCTTTCCAAGTGAGTGAATTGGCTTTAAAGTAAAAGCTACGCTAAGGATAATTAAATATCAAGTGTTGCATGTGTTTCAAAAATTCAAAACATCAAATATATATTTATTGGGTCTAAGCCCAATATTTGCGCTTCTCTAGTTGGCCATTCAGCCACAAAGAATGCTGAGTTAGACAAACCTTGGCCTGATCCATCAGGGTTGTTTTAAGTGTTGCTGCCATCTTCAACTCTGGGCAAACATTGGTGCTCAACAATGCAATTCCTTTTCATAGGCCCTCTTTTTTTGGTTGGTAAAACATTCCAATGCTTAAAAATATATGGGCACTTTCACAAAAGAGCTTTCATGGGAAGGCTTCTATGTTTACAAAAGGGGCGCCATGAAGGGAATTAGTTAAAAAGCATCTTTAGCAAACAGGGAAGGAAGAAGAAGGAAAGGGGGAAGGAAGGAATGAAGGTTTTCTAGAAAAAGCTCTCTAGAATGCTTTCTTACAACCTCCACTATTTTGCCTTTTTTTCCTGAGTTGGTAGACCCACTTCCAGACAAGTCTCTGAAACTGTTGTTTCTATTTTTAGAGAATGCTCTGCAAACTTTGGCAAGATGATTTTTAGGTGGGACAGCAATCTTGGCAGTGTCAAGAGAAGCTCCCATGAATGTCACAGTGCCAACCCTTGTCTTCACACACTGTCATTGAATACCACTCTACTGGAAACTGCCTACTAGAAAATAATTGTGTTCTAGGTAGAGAAAAGGATCTGGCTAACAACATGAATTGATTCTTATACACAGCATTCTTGCTTTATTCCAAATTGCTACTTCTACCTGTTAGCCCTTGAACTGTTTTTGCCCCAAAGTTTCCATTTGCCATCTCTTTCCTTCTTCCCCTGAATTTTCCTCTTCATAGATTTACAATTGTATGTAGCTTCATAATATCTGATGGAGTTACATTGTACCGCAAGATATGTGTTCAGTGTGAGAAACAAGCTCATAACTTCAGAAACAATTTTTTTTCAGAATTGCAGCTTATTCTCTTGGTTCTCTGTTTGTATTTGAAATTTGTAATCCTTCCTTCTTTCCTTCCTCCCTCCCTCCTTCCCTCCCTTTGTGAAACATGTTGTTATGAGGGACAAATTACCTTTTTTAGCAATTTTGTTTAAGTAAACTTTTATTTAAACTAAAGATTTGTGAAGTCATCCTGACTTGGATATTTTTGAAGCAGAATATGTCATTCCCATTAAAGGCATGAAATAATATTGATGTTTATTTATTAGCTTTGTCCTTGCATTTGGCATGCCACACTGACACACCAGTTTGTTCTAAAAATGCACAGCTACTGCCGATTAATTGCCATTAACTAACATGCTTCTGTATCTTATTCCATGTATTTTATGCTTAATGAAATCAGGGTTGATTGCTGGAAAACACGATTATCCATCTAATGAGATGTAAAATTTTAGCCGTAAATTAGGGGAGAGTTCCACAGTATTTGGTGCCCTCTAGAAGACTGTTTATTATGCCACCTGGAGTTTATGGGAGCTGGCATCCCAGGCATCGTCAGGGGACCAGATTGGGAATAATCTAAAATAGATTATGTTCACAATAAAATGTTTTTGAAGGATGTATTGAACTTTTTTTTTATTTCATTCAATCATGTCCAATTTTTGGAGACCGCTGGACAAGTCCTTGCAGTTTTCTTGGCAAGGTTTTACAGAAATGGTTTGACATTTTGATTGACTGGTTAAAGGTAATTTAGCTGGCTTTGTGCCTAAAGCAGGATTAAAATTTACAGTCTCCCAGTTTCTAGCCTGATGCTTTTATCCCTATACTAAACTGGTTCATATTGAATTTACAAACTTCCCTTTTTGCTAATGAAGAACACCAATACATATATACAACAATATATTCCAACAATATATGCAAAAGCAGATTATACATCTTCAGTACTTTTATACATATTTTAAGTGTGTAAATGAATGCAAAATTTGAATTTGCCTCTTCAAATCTCCATAATACAGTTTTGCCTTACAAAAATATAAAACAAATCACCTAACGTGGATGTTTTAAAACAGTAGATGGAATAAGAAAATTCTTTTGCTTCATAGCTGATGCTTTTATCATATATTAACTAGATTTATTTTCCAAGGTTTCAGATCATTGTCATATTATGTTAACAGACAAAGACATAAATATCATGATTTCTTCTTAATCATCATGACCCTAAATACATTCAATTTTGTGCTTATTTATCTCCAGGAGTTAAAATAGTTCTGCAGTGCTCTTTTGTTCTCCATCTCTGCAACAATTTTCCTTTGTCTAAAGCAGCCTTTCTCAATATGGGTACCTTCCACCATTCCAGTTCACTGCTCTGCTAGCTGAGAGAAGGCTTGGTTTACAACATCCAAAGAATTCAATATTGCTGTATTTATTGCATAGCAGTGTGAGATCAGCATATCCCAATCCAAAGCCTGGGGACATGAATTAAGTTATTTTTCCTTTTAGAAGTAAATAAGGATTGTTTTATACAGAGAGAAGAACATCCGTTATTTAAGGTTAACTCAATCCTGCAGTTCAATTCAGAATGAAGAGAGTGTTTATGTTGGTTAATAGTGCTTTGAGTCAATACATTAGGAGAGTTGCTGACATGGTTGACAAAAGCTGTTGGAAATATTTCTAAAACTAATCCTCAAACGTAATGAATAATGAGCTTTTTAGGAGATTGGCATTCAAACCAACAGGATACATGAGCTCTACCTCAGGAGATAATTTCTCTTGTTCAAGCCCAGTTTGTCATGTCTGATAGACTCATTGTTCTAGGTATCTTGGCGGCGATGCAGTACAGGTAGTCCTCAACTTACAACAGTTCCTTTAGTGACCAAAGTTACGACAGCAGTGAAAAATATGATTTATGGCCGTTTTTCACACTTATGACCTTTGCAGCTTCCCATGATCACGTGATCAAAATTCAGATGCTTGGCACCGGGTTCATATTTATGGCTGTTGCTGTGTCCCAAGGTCACATGATCATCTTTTGTGACCTTCTCACAAATCAATGGGGAAGCCAGGTTCACTTAACAACCGGGTTACTAACTTATCAATTGCAGTGATTCATGTAACCATTGTGGCAAGAAAGGTCATAAAATGGGGCAAAACTCACTTAACAAATGCCTCATTTAACAACACCAATTTTGGGTTCAACTGTAGTCATAAGTCAAGGACGACCTGTAGAACTTTGTCATAACAGTGTTCTAGAA